TGATGCCATCTGCCTTTAGTGCTCACCCAGCAGTAATTGCTTTTATGGATTTCTGCATCATCTGATACTCCTGGGACCAACTTGGCTGGTCAGACACTGGCTGTGAACTGTAACATTATGACTGAGACCCTGATGACTGAACTCAGAAAGGCTGCTTGGTCAGAGAGTGACAGGTATAGGGTAATGTTGAGTGCTTCAGAGCACACTGTTACTTCATAGGATTTCATCAGCTTGGTGGCAGCTGATGGAGAACCAGCTTCTCATCATGGTCTAGGAAGCAGTTGAGACCCAGGGACGGTAGAGATATTCCTAACATGTGTTTGATATTTCTCTATCAAATTATCATTGTAAACTCCCAGAGTTAGTCCTTTGAAATGTTTCCTTTGTTTTTGAATGATCTTTGAGCAGCTTTACAGAAAGTAAACTCCAGGATTTATGAGTTTGGATATTTCTAAATGGCACACATCCTATTCCTCCCATTCCATTATCACACCCAAGTCCAAGAGCAGCTGTGATTTCTAGGGCTGGGGGAAACCAGCATGGCCAGCCAGTTCTTGCCACATAGGATAGGGCTAGCTTTGGATTATTTCTAGATGGCTGTGGTCTGTTTACCTCAGGAGTGACAAACTCCTGTGGGAGCTTAATTTACAACTTACCACAGAGGTCACTGATGGAGTACAGATGTTTGGACTGAGGTCACTGATGGAGCACAGATATTCAGGCATATGTAGAAAATATTTTCATTACTAAAATTTCTTTTGTTAACTCACATGAGTTTATTCAAACTGATAAAACAGTATAGAAATTTTGCTGTCTCAATATTAAAAAAATGTTCTTTTCTGTGAAGGGTATTTATTTTTACATTTATTTATTTCAGGTGTGGGAATATACATACGTGTGTGTGTGTGTGTGTGTGTGTGCGTGTGTGTGTGTCATGGTGCACATGTGGAGGTCAGAGGACAACTTGTTAGAATCAACTATCTCTTTCCACTAAGTGAGTTTTGGGCATTGAACTCAGGTTGATAGACATTGTGGTATGGGTCTTTACCTCTGAACCATCTCACTGGCCCATCTCTGAATATTTTTGAGTATATGCTGTACCTATCACTGTTGATAAAACTTGGGTTATAGACTTCCTTCAAAATGACTATTTGTTAAGATCTACAGTTCAGTTTCCTGTGATGACATAAACTAGCTATTTAAAACTAAACTTTTAAAATTTTGATCCACATAATGTAATGTTATAAAACATTTTTGCATGACTATTAATCACTAATTGCCATTAATTATATGTATTACAAAGATAAAGATGCATATTCTCTTGGAAAGCAAGAAAAAACTATCAGGATGGCAATCTCTAATTTTTTCTGAAAAGTTCTATTCACTAAACACGTAGACAATTAAGATCAGTTTTATTCTTTCCATAAAAGTTTTCTTTAGCTAGTGATCTAGTATTTCATAAACAGCATTAAAGGTTCAGGCATCTGCATTTCCTGCTAAAAGATTTTAGTTTCACAGGTCGCTGTTTCCATTCAGCACCTCCAGCATTTTACTATGGAAAACATTAAACATTTACCATTATAAAGGACAGAGTCATAAATGATCTCTAACCCATCACTCATCATCAGTGATCATAAACATTCTCCTGCCCTTCTTTCATACAGTCCACTCCAAATTCTGTTTGAGTGTTTTAAGGAAAGTTCCAGAATCATGTCATTTTACCCATATGTACCTCAGTACATATCACTAACTGATGAAGACTTTAGAAACTATTATTTTTATTTCTATTATTTCTTCCTTTCTATTTAATTATCAGCTCATATTCAAAATTTCCAAAGTCTCAAGGGCATCTTTCTTAGAGTTGGTCTGTTTGAATCAGGACTCTAAGAAGTTCCACACTCTGTTGGATGGATGTCACTGTTTAATGCCTAGCAGGTTCCTTCCCACTTTTCCTCTGTGGATATTTTGTGCTGTAGAATATCTTATATTCAGATTTTGTTTGATTCATTCCTCATGATATTAAGAATTTATTTTTCTTTTCCTCAACATTTCTTGCAAATTAGCAATGTTGGAGGTTAATGAGATTTCATGCTAAATTTAAAAGACATTACAGGGGTAGTTTCTCTGTCTCTATCCTCCCATCCCCTCTGCTCCCCTCCTCTCCCCTCCCCTCCGCTCCTTTTTCCTATCCAGATGTACCTCCTGTCTGTGAATTTCTTTCAGTGATGTTAACCCTGCTGGCTTAGACACAGCTGTCTTCATCAGCATTTTACCTAGTGATTTCAACATCTGATAATGATTGCTCAGTTTTCCCCATTCTCACAGTCCTGGGGATCAAGCCCAGGGTCTTGGGCATGTTAGGCAAGCACTTGATCACCGAACTATATTTCCAGTCCCTTAATTTTAGAATTCTGCCCTTTCCTTGGCATTCATTTGACATGATTGTTTGTAAATGAAGTAGTTTTATCCCTCTTCAACTATTTGAGTATCCTGAAACTCAGATGGTAGAGAAAAGGAAAAAGTTTTATAGTATTTTCCCTTTCTTTAGCAATTCTCACAAGAGTAGTTCCCATGTCCTACAAAGACCCATATCACACTAGTGGCTACTGGGAGATGGAGAGTCAATCCCCATTTAAGGTGAGACTTTGGGTAGGTTTACCAGGCTCCAGTGGGTGAACCCACACTGAAGGGCATTTGGGGACACAAATATACTATACACATGTATGTGCGCGTGTGTGTGAGTGCGTGTGTGTGTGTGTGTGTGTGTGTGTGTGTGTGTGTGAAATTGGGTGAGTGGGTGGTGGTAGTAGATTGGAGAGGGGATCTAAATATGATCAAAATATATTGTATGAATTTCACGAAATTCAGTAAAAAAGAGTCAAGAAAGTACAGAACTAAGTATTCTGTCTGGTTAAGTCCAAAATCAAGAAAAAGGACGTAAAGACAGTATAAAGTAAGAACTTGATGTAATTAAAATGCTATTTAAATTATGGATATAGTACCTTAAGTGTTAGAAAATAGAAATGAAATAATAAATACAAGCTAGAATGTTTCCTAATCCTTACTGTAATTTAAATATCTGTAAATACATGTCAGTGTTTATACTATAAATTCATGGCTGTGTTAAAGGGAAGACAGAAATGTTCCTAGCTGCTGCACTTCTGCCATGTTTATTCATAGTTTTCATTATCTCTATATTTTCCTTCAGAAAATGAAAAATTATCCTTTTAGATGTTGTTTATATATAACTCATTCAATAAATAAGCCTATAGCAGAATTATTTTCAAAAAAAGAAATTGAAGCAAGAACAAAAGGAAATTGAAAGGGAATTACTAGTGTGCACTTCCTAAGACCTGTTAGGAGAGGAGAGCTTCCTGTGCTGCACTTTGCCTGGTGAGACCTAGGGCATTTTTTTTTAGAAACCTTTTAAACTCTTCTGAAAAAAAAAAAAATCAACATCTCTACTTGTATAAGACCTGTGAATATAATTTAACGGAGCGTAGTGTCTATCTGTGTGTGGTCCTTGGCGATGTGTGTCCTTTTATGGATGTGCTGTCAAAACAGTCACTCTACACCCAGGTCCTTCTTCTATGAGGAAAAGCTTTAATCTGTCAGCTGTGTGCATGATGCACATTTGTCTTCATTCCTGTTAGCCCGCCCCTAACTCTCACTTTCTGCTGTTCTTAGTTTTTCCTTTTGGCTTAATTTTTATTGTAACATAAATTGCTCACGTAGGTTCTAAGTCAAGGGGATGAAGTGACAGCACTAACTCCTTCCATGTTTGTTCCCGTCATTCTCCCAGTCCTGCAAAAGTAACCAGTTGTACAAGTCCTCAGCTAATTCCAACATTTGTTCTTGAATATTGTCAGATGCCCACGGTACTATTGCCCCCTTCTTATACCAAAGGTGACAAATCCTCTGTACCTTATTAACAGCACATGTTGGCTGGTCTCTCTTGGGGATAAACAGTTGGATATGGGGTTGTTAATCAAAGACTAAATCCTTATAAAAATGTACTAGATATTGCCAGAGTCCCTTCAGTAGACTTGCACCATTTTGTGTTTGAAAGGATTTTAGAACAGTTTCCCTTCTTTCTAAACTGCTGAATCAGAACTCAGGGACATTGGGTGTCAGGGAGCTGGCAATGAGCCCGGGGTGGGAAGCCTGCTTGCTGTCCAGGCAAATCTTAAGTCAATTAATCTAATGTATTGCTCACTTGGTGTGTATCAGGTACTGTTCAAGGCATTGGTGAGGGAAACCTCAAAATGCATATAATGTACTCTCTTCTGCATGAGTCTAGAGCCCATAGATTAGGGAAATGTCTCTAAGTAGATAATTATAGTGCACTGTGAGTGTTGGTGTAATAGACACATATGAGTACTGTGCCTGGGATAGACTGTGATTGACTGTTGCTAACCAAAAAAGCCATAGTATGCACTTGACACATTCTCTACAAAACTGACTTCAGGAAATCTGCTTTCCTAAGAAGGAAACAGCTCCTGGGTTTGGCCTTGAACTTACCCCATCTGTACTTGTTTCTTTGCTTGTTTATTTCTTGACTCAGCTCGGATTTTGAGGTTGGGGTTATTATGAGTGTCCATGGAAGTTTTTAAAATTATATTTTATTTAATTATGTATGTGTAACGTTTGTGCCACGACATGTGTTAGGAAGTCAGAAGACAACATGCTGGGAGTCAGATTGCTCCTTCTACCATGTGAGTCTTGGGGATTAAGTTCAGGTCTTCGGATTTGGAGGCAGGTACCTTTACTTGCTGAGCCATCTTGCCAGTCCCTCTGGAGATTTTTAAACCTAAAGTAATAGCATGTAAAGTCTCAACAAAAAAGTATTCCTCATGTGACACTACTGCTGCCACCATGCCAATTCTGTGACCTGCTTGAAATAACGCCATTCAAGGAGTCGACAGGAGAGAGGGTAAAAGTCAATAAAAACAGAATTATTTATTAAAAAGATCTAATGTTACAAGAACAGTACACGGAACTATTATCTGACTGTGCCTTCCACATGTTATATACCATTATATATATAGTATATATACAGATTGTATACAATATATTAACGGTTTGACATGGAATCCACAGCACCTTCAGTTACATAGGTGGAATACTTGCTTTCATGAAATTTCTACAGACAAGGAGTGCTGTTTTCTTCACAGCTCATTGGACATTATAAAAAATACAGTCTCTGTATGGATTGAAGACTGTGGTTCCCATTCCATCCAAGAAAAACCTCATTCAGAACCGTGTTGAGAAACAATGTGCCTTGATAAGGAATGGGGTCTACTTTCTACAAAATAACAAATATGCAATACATAAATACAGATACATTGAAACCTGTTTCTTTTTAAATAGGGTCAGGACACAAAATACGTATTTTGTGCATGTTAAGTAAAAACATCCCATGTTTTTTTATTTCTGTAAGAATAAAGCATCAGACATTCTATATGTAGAGTACTCTGGCAGAGATTTACCATTCGTCGGCTATTTGGAAATATTAATCTGAATCTGTCATATGTGACATTTTATTTTACTGGGCTTTGCTTTAGAAGAGTTTAGTTAGAAGCTGATTCTTAAAATTCTTCAATAAATCCAGAATAGAACATTAATGATCAGTGAAGGAGATGGCTTGATTCACCAAATATGAAAAACATATTCCTTTTTAAAAAATATCTTTCTGTACTTTTTTCAGATGCATGATTTGTTCTTGGAAGTGACACCATACTCCAGGATGCACATGTTGGCTTCCTAGAGAGTGTCTCCCTATTTGTGAAGTCCAGCCTCTCCTCCTCAGGAGGCACTCAAGAAAGGCCACTTGGTTGTTCTTATTCAAAGGTTTGAATAGTCAGTCTGTAGGGTTTACTGTAACAGTCTGTTGACTGAATAGTCTTTTATATGTCCCGTTTATTTAGGGGAGTCTTGGACATGTTTCTTTCCAAGTAGAACATGAGTAATTGATGTATAGTTACATTGTACTCTGGAAAGAATCTTTTAGGACATTCAGAACAGAAACTGTAATCTCCCTTTGGATTCTGCAAAGATTAGCCTTGAGAGACAGTGAGTTGAGCTCAATATTCCCATTTTTTTTTGTTCTTAAAGATGCAAATAAACAGGCTTAGACTGTATAAAGGCAAATAAATGAAGAGAAACTGCTTTTTGTCCTCTTAATAACATCACCTGTATAACTAGTGTCTCCTGGTTCCTTTTGGTAATGAGGTTGCAGTATCTCTTCTGGCAACCTTCATAAGTATAAAACCACCCCAGCACATCCTGCTGCTCTGTGTTCTATCATAGCTTGAAGCAGGGTGACTTCACTTAGCTTTTCTGTGTTAGAATCACTTAGGTTGGGTTTGACTCCTCAAAGTAGCCAGCGGGGATTATCTCTGAAGGCATGGGATCCAGTAATGCAGGTTAGGCGAGGCTAGCTGAAGCCTAGCAGTGCCACACGCCCATCCATGGATTGATTGTAAAAGCCAATCCAGACTCTTTTTTTTTTTTTTAAAGCAGTTGATTATATTTCATAAGTGGCATGTGATGGTATAGAAGTGTCTTAAACACTCAGGTTTTTTATCATTTGCTTCAGAATTTGCTCCACCAACTCTCCTTATCCTTACAACTATTTTCACGTAGAAGAAAGCTTTGTAAATTCCAAATCCATTTGATGGTGGGTGGAGAAGTGGGGATAGCCCTGTTCCTTTTCCCTGCACTTATAAATTGGCACTGGTGGCAGCATATCTTTACAGTGTTCAGTGAGCATATATCTTGTGACTTTAAGCTATTTCTGTCATTAAGTATGTGCTGCATTTGCTGCTAGATCACATAGTACTTGATGGAAAACAGTAAGCTAATTTGCATTCTTTCTATTTATCCTACACTATTATAAATGGCTTATTCCCTACCTTAATACTTACTCTGCAATGCATATACAATAGCATATTGACGGAATCTTCTCCTTTGCTAGGCATTCACACAATAGTTTTTGAGGGTTTTTTTTTTCTGTTTTTATCATGGACCCTCATGTCTGAAGTATTTCTTCACATCTCTTGCTGATTTAACCATTGGAATAGTGATCTGAAGGGAAATTGAAAACCACTGGGACTCAGAGTCCTAAGAAAGTGTTTCTTTCTTGAGTTTGTATTTGTTTTTGAAACAGGTCTACTAGAGACCATGTCTGTAACAAATGGATGGCACTCAGAGTCATCAGATAGAAAATCAAATTCCAACATATTAAAAAATTAAGAATACATCTGACAAATTACCTTTGCTTACAAAAATTCATTACATACAATCTGCATATTTTTATTGGACCAAGAACTGTCCTCTCCATTTACAAAAACCAAAGAGAAACCTGATGGGTAAGTCGTATTTCCCCCTAAGCTCCTGTAAGTGCACTCTACGCAGTCCCAAGTGTTCAAAACTCTTCTTGGGACCCTGGATCTCCACTCACTTCACAATTTATCTGCTGTTGATTTCTCAAGCTAGAGCAGAGGAGAGTAAACAGCATCCACAGCGTTCACCAGGAGTGGGAGGGAAGCATCAAAGCCAAGATCAACGTCACTGAGGATGACGCGGAGAGGCTGTGCAGAGTTGACTGAGCACTCGTGATTTTCCCACCTGTGAACAGAAGAGAAACATCCAATGAAGCCAGTTGGCAAGGGTTCTCCTTGGGATGTAGAAGGTGGATAACAGCACTGGTCCTCTGTCAGATGAGACATTGCCTGAGGCCTCTACCTTCACAAGGAGGGTAGGAGTCTATCTCCAAAACAGTGTGGAGAAGCTAAGTCATGTCTAGCAACCAAATCTGACAAGGAGGACTGCTGTGATATCCACTAGTGCAGCACAGGTTTGAAGTATTCCAAGTTCAAGGTCTGAGGATGAACTATTTTATAGTGTATGCCTAATTCAAGAAATAAAACAAAAATAATTAGTAAAAGTGTGAAACAACATGAATTCATAATATTCCATTAATTTAAAATTGAATAATAAAAGCTTTTGTTTACTTTATTTTTTAGTGTTCATTTCAGTTGAGTAGGCTTGAAATTCTAGATTCCCATTCCAAACTTGGTAAAGAAGGGAAAACGTTCATCTACCTTTGTTACATCCAGGAGAAGTCCTTCCGTGAGATTACAATACTATGTGCAGGTAATGAATTAAACTAACAGGTCTGAGTTGGTTGATGTGAAGTAGTTTGAAAGCTTCACTGGCCATGAAATTAAGAGCCGTTTTATTTCATGTTTGAGTCTTTCACCTGCAAAAAGTACATGTGTGCGTGCAGCGCCCACAGAGGCCAGAAGAGGGTGTCAGATCCCCTGGAACTGGGGTTACAGATGGTTTTTAGCTACCATGTGGGCACTGAACTCAGATCCTCTGAAAGAGCAGCCAGTGCTCTTAACGCCCAAGCCGTCTCTCCAGACCCCAAGAGCCATTTTTATACAGTAATGTCTGCATGGTTCTTTAGGCCAGAAGCCTTGTGAAACATCACTGTCAAGGGTTGGGGGGAGGAAGATCCTGGGGACCCACTGCCAGTGCTCTAGCCAATAAAGTGTGCTTTAGGCTCGGTGAGAGGCCTGCCTTAAAAGTAAGAGGGAGGGCATGTGTGTGCTGACCCTGCCATATCTGACACAGTTTGAAGCAGTTATCTGCCACATCTGGATCTGAAATTCTTTCAGCCCTCTCTTCTGCCATGATCCCTATAATTGATTGTTGCTGGGGAAGGGAGAGTCAGTTTTCTTCAGGGATGCAGCACCTGATAGGCTACCAAATGCTCCAGAAGATGGCCTAACGCTCATACACACACATGCAGCAGTAAGTACACTCAGTGGGTTTTTGAAAAAAAAAAAAAAGGTGCATATGGGAAAACTGGTGGGAGGATAGGGGTCAGCCGGAGAGAAGGGTGTGGAAAGGATATTAGATTAAAACATTTATGTATGATATTTGTTTTTTAAAAATTATTTTATGTGTAAGTGTGTATTGCCAGCATGTATGTAAGTGCACCCCGTCATGCAATGCCTGCGGAGGTCAGAAGAGGCTATCAGATTCCCCTGGAACTGGAGTTACAGATGGTTGTTAGCTGCCACGTGGGTGCTGGGATACCAACCCAGGTCTTCTGCAAGAGCAGCCAGTGCTCTTAAATGCCATCTCTCCAGCCCTTATGTATGATATTTTTAAGCAATGCAAAAGAAAAAGTAACGTAGAGAGCAATATATCATGATACCTGACAACCTTGGCTCTCCACACATGTGCACAGAGGCAATGTGCATTTACACACATGTGCACACAAGCACACAGATTGCTATAAGGTTAAAAATGGAGACTGTGGAAAACAGCTCAGGAAATGTCAGGAACATGACAGTGGCTCAGCAGAGGCCTGCTTTGTGGCTGGTATTAGAAACTCTACACTCATGAGGCAAGAACAGTCCTGTATCCTTTTGACTTAGAAGAAAGTGTTTTTAGTTTCTCAGGGTGCTCTTGAAACTTCAGCACCCTTAACAGTTCAGTTGCAGATTAATCAGTGCGCAGACATTATGACCGTTCTTGCTCCAGAAGCAGGGCTTTTATTAAAAAGAATCATAAAGTATTAATATTTTGTGTGACCTCAAGGCATTTTAATTCTTAGATGTCTTCACCTGAGTATCTGAGAAAGTCAGATTTTCACCACCTTGCATATTTTATTTTAAAGCAAATTTTGTCATACCCAAAATTTGTAAGAATAGAATGCAGTCAGATTCCTAGAATGCTGAAAGTTTATTATTCAAGCTTAATTATTTATTTTCTCTATAAATACATGTATATCTATCATCTGTCTGTCTATCTATCTATCATCCATCCATCCATCTATCTATCTATCATCTATCTATCTATCTATCTATCTATCAATCATCTATCTATCATCTATCTGTCTATCATCTATCTATCTATCTATCTATCATCTATCATCTATCTATCATCTATGTATCATCTATTTATCATCTATCATCTATCTATCATCTATCATCTGTCATCTATCTATATTCATCCATCCATCCATCCATCCATCCATCCATCCATCCATCCATCCGTCATCTATCATCTTTTAAAGCTTCCTTCAGTGATTTGAAATATGCAGACATAACTTACCTTTTTCCATATGCACTTCAATATAGACGCCTAAAAATAAGATATTTTCCTGTGGAACTCCAATGCAATGCTTAAAAATAGCATATTAGGGCTGAAAAAATGGCTCAGTGACTAAGAGAACTGACTGTTCTTGCAGAGGACCCAGGCTTGGTTCCTAGCACCCATATGGCAGCTAGCAATCATCCTTAACTCCAGTTCCAGGGGATCCAGTGCTTACTTATGGCTTCTATGGTCCGTGGGCATTGAACGCATGGGTACACTTACATACATATCAGCAAACCATTCATACACATAAAATAAATAAGCAAAAGTTTAAAATTAATAATAAAGCAGGAAACTGATGTTGAAGTAGTATTATCTAATACATAGGTGATCAAATTTTTATTTCTTATCACAATAATTCTCCATAATTATTTCATTTAAAAATTTTATCCAGTAATTTATAATTTATTAAATATTATGCCAGTAGCTTTCCCTCAAAGTCCAGTGTTACTATTTTCTCTATTGTATTTGCTATGAATAACATTTTGTGGAATTAAAAGGAACCACAAACAATTGCTCTGGTCTGATTCCAAGTTGAAAATTATGAAATAATCTAGGGCCATGTAGAGAACCTTCTAGGGCATCGCTGTGGGTATCCTTTTAAGTTAGGAATTGTTGCCCTTCAAATAATGCTTATAATCACCTATTCATCAACAGCAAATTTTTTTCACAATGCTTTAATGAAAATTGCTCACTTACTGGGAAATAAGCATATCTAATAAAACCTTCCACTTCCATTTTTGATTACCTTGAAAAAAATGGTTACTTACAAATTTATAAAATCTCCCTTTAGTCAGTTTTTCCTTTGCTGCTAAAATGATTTCAGATGTGTGTGTGGGCTGGGAGACCACCATACCTATGTCAGAATCCTGGATCTACCAGGTAATAACAGCAAATTCTTAGAGAAATTACTGAAATTCTCTGCAATTCAGGGAAAATGCCCCCTACCCCATGTAAGTGCTGCTACAATTAAGCAAAATAGCTTAAGTAAAGGACTTTTGACTGTGCTTGGTCTATTGCCAGTGCTCGATAAAGACAATCAGTTACTAATATTGCAAACAACCCAATGAATACAATTTATTATTTGTTTAGACAGAAATGAATATCAGTTTTTAACTTGAAATCATCCCTTCCAGATTCACCATTATTTCATGGGGAACAATGACAGTACTACAGAAGTTGGTACTTCAAACTGGTTTATATCTGTTTAAAAGCAGTATTTCAAACCCAAGGGGGCAATTACTACTAAGGCCAGGATAGGCAAAGGGATCTCAAAAGCAAGTACATCCTATTGGAAACCAGGTGATTTCTGGGTGTGTTGTATTCTACAATTGTGACCAAATTTCTGTCAGTTACGCTAACTGCAGAATGGTGTGGAAGTCACAGAAGAGAAATACCTTAAAAAATCTCTGATTGATGCAGCGTAGCCTTCAACTTTGAGAAGATTGAGAGCCTCCTAAATTGATGACATCTCAATCAAGCCTGCTCTGCCAAAACTTACCTGAATATGAAGGTACCCTGATTTGGGAGCTAGCTGTTCCATCCCCTCCTTCACTGTATGCCCGAACTTCAATAATGTAGACTCCAGCATCAGGGAGTGGTATTACAGCTTGAGGTTTCTGTGTTTCAATGACTTGACTGCTGGTGTGACCCTCTTGCCTATAAAAAACCTGTAAGCAATATCAGGGGTTTATGTTATTTGCTATTTAATTGGGGCTTTAGCATGTTTACTGATCACCTACTGCAGATCAGACTCTGAGCGAAGCACAGGGATCTGTTGCTTAGATCAGCAAATGTGATGCACGTGTCACACACGCTGGGGTGGTGGTGTACATATGGGCAAATGGCAGCATGGGGAGAGAATGTGATTCTGCCTAGAACTTCAGGGAATGCTTTACAAAGGAGGTGATGCCCACACTGAGTATTTGAAGGTAAATGGAAAGCGGGCATGGTGGTTCAGACTGGTAATCCCAGTTTTCTACGGTTGAAGAGCTGCCTGGACTGTAAGTATGAGAGCATGTCTCCAAACAAAGAAAAACCCTCCCCAAATTATAGAATTGACCAGTCTGAGAATTCCAGATTCATAAGGGAACATAAAACAGCTTATACTTAATAAGAAGGCGTGGCATAGAGAAAACTTAGGGAAATTGAAGCAAGGAGAGAGACAGGCAGAAAGGACACATGCTGGGGAAAATCTTCGATGCCTGGTCCCCTAAAGAACGGTGTACTAAATGTCAGCTGGAGACGCATAGGCAGAAGGAACTTCAGTCGAGGAATGGCCTCCATCAGATGGGCCTGTGGCTGGCTGTGTGGGACATTTTCTTGATTGCTAATTGATGTGGGGGCCCGGAACACTGTGTAAGTGGCACCCCTGGACAGGTGGGTCTGGGCTGAACATAAGCCTCAGGGCGAGCAAGCCTGTAAGCAGCGTTCCTCCAAGATCTCTGTAGCTGTTGGTTTTCTGATGAATTGGCATTTAGATATCAATGGGTAGCAAAGTTAACTTCTTTTGACATCTGTCATCATTGCATGATGAAAATCTGTGCCTGGTCAATAAAAGCACACATCTGGACACAATATTATCCTGTTTATCAGAAAACCAAGGCCACAGAGAAGTCTGGGTCCTTTCTACAAGCCCGTGTGGAAATAGTTTTACAAGGTCAGTGCTCCAATCGATTCCTACCTGCTCACTATGTGGTACTCGTCTTAGGCTTTTGCCTCCGCCAATGCGCTAGTATAAATTGGAGTGTAATAGCCAAAGAGCAGCAGTTAGGATACATTTAAGTGCATTTTTACTCATTTTCATTGTTTTTATGCATTTTCATAATTGTTGGTATTATGATTGCCTAAAGGAAATAACAATGGTTTGATCATCATACAAATGTGAATTCAAAACAATTTCCTAAGCATACCTGACTGAGCAAATGATAGCCCTTTCGCAACTTGAATCCACTGTTGTGTTCAGTAGAAATACTACCTATTTCATGGTTTTGTTAGGAGAACTAAGGAGGAATGTGTCTATAAAATATCTAGCATAGGCCCTTTTACATGCAGGCTGTCTGTCTGTCTGCCTACCTACCTACCTACGTAAGGTATGTGTATTCCTATAGAAAGTGTATTTTGAGCTTGAACTGACTTTCATACAATAAAATAAAATTTAGAAAAGCAGTATTTGTGGCGTGGCAGGGTGTGTGCACACATATGCTCATGAGTGAGGAGCCCAGAGGCCAGTCTCAGATGTTATTTGTCAAGAATCATTCAATTTGATTTTTGAGACAAGAGTCTTTCACTGGGGCCACAGGCTTACTTACTCAGCTAGGCTGCCTAACTAAACACCCATGGGTCCTCCTGCCTCTGCCTCCCAATGCCTGCCTTTTATGTGGGTTCTAAGTCTCATGTGGCAAGCACTTTGCCAGTTGCGTCACCTCTTCACCCCCTCAAAATAGTGTTTTTGGTAATGCACATTCTGTTCGTCTTTCTTGGGTCCAAATTTGCACTGGGGTCTTTGGAAGAAAGTGACTTCTGCATCAGCTTCTAAAATTTTATAGTTCTATGTACCGATATCCTATCTGAGAAGGACATCATTGCTTGAAGAGACATGTAAAGTGATGGCAAGCATCCCCACATCCTTCCTGGACCAGGTACCATGCTTGGGGATCAGAGACCAAGGCCACATGTGCCAACATTCTTGATGCTTAGTCCAATCTCACACACATTACACAGCACAATTCAGGGTGATGTGCATTGCAATAGGAAACATTTGACAACAGAGCAGTGCCCAGAATGTGTTTTGTCAGAGTTGGTGGAACTTGGAGGGGGGGACAGCTTCAGCAGTTTATTTGGTTTAAAAAATGACAAATCTGTCAGAATTTATGTTCCCCATTTTGACTGTAGCACAGTAATGAATTACAATTTGATCATCTGCATGAGGTAATTAGAAATCAAATTTCTGGGAATGGAGATGTATGTAAATTGGTGAGGACTGGCAGGGGAGTGACTGTTTCAGAGGACACTGGTATTATGGTTCAATAAATTATGATTTTTTATGACAAAGAAAAATGCAGCCAGCAATGCATATCTAATGCTGCTGTAAAATCCAGAGTTGAAGAAAAACGTGTCGATCGGCTGAGATTTAAGAACAAAAGGCAGAAGCAGCAAAAAAGCCAAAACCCAACTAAACAACAACAGAAAGGCAGTCAACAGGTTTGGGATCAAATGTGGCTTTTCTCAGTACAGCCAAGAAGCAGTGACACCAGGCACATCAGTAAGGTGTTTTACCAAGTAAAATGTTGACTAAAGAAATGGTTACTCTTCAGTGCTTTGGAGTGTCTGGGCCCACTAGTAAGTCTAGACTTAAAAAAAGGTGAATGTGGATAAGAAATATAAAAAGACTAAAGCGTTATCAAGATGTGGCAAATATGGTTCCTGACTCCAAGGAGGCCAGGAGATTTTTGACAATCTGGATGTTTCAAGATTGGCAGTTCCACTTGACAGCTATCTTTATTCATGAAAGAAATTGCCTGCTGTAATGTCAAGACTGGTTTCAAATTCTATTTAAAAAACCAAGATCATTGGTTTATCCAAAGACATAATCCTGAACCAAAATGTAACTGGTTCTAATATTCTTTTAAAAAATGTTATTGCATTTATTTATCTTGGATGCATGTGTATGTCTCCACGCACACATGCAGTACACGTGTGGAGGTCAGAGGACAATGTGAGGGAGTTAGTTCTCTCCTTCTACCACCCTGTGAGCCCCAAAAATCAAGCTCAGGTTGACAAGCTTGGCGGAAAGGACTGACGAGCAGGAACCGCTATTCTTAAAGAAATGGCTGTACTATAAATCTGATAGTGACAGAGTATTGGGGTGAGCATGCTAAATATTCAACAGAGAAATGTTTTGTTGACTATTCCTATAGGTGTCCTTGAGGAGGGCATCCTGTTAAAGTGAAGGCCATTCATCAGCTAAACATCTTGGAAAAGTTCATGAGAACAAGTCATCTTGATAATAGAGCTTAAGGACTCTGAAGCCCCAGGGACAAGGGGATGGGCGATAAAAGACATACGAAACTAGATGAATCCGGGCATGCTGGTGCCTATCATGTCAGGACCTGAGAGGCTGAGGAAGGGGGATCAAGAATCAGATTGCACCTCCATAGCAGTTCAAGGCCAGCCAATGCTTCACATGACCCTGTCTCAAAAAGCAAACACCACCTACCACAACTAAATGGAAACTAGCTGAATTAAAATTAAAAAAAAAAAAACAAGTATCTTCTTGAAGTCCCTCAAATTAAGGTAAAGAATAAGAACAAATCATTCTGGAAGAATGCAAAGGAAAATAGCTTTAGATACTTAAATGACAATTGAATTACGATAGAATTTATTCTCATAATTGTTTTAATAGCTTTTGTATAATCTTCATCGCTATTATGAGATATAAAATGTATTTATCAAATCTGTAATCATTATGCCAAAAAATCTGAATTACTGTAACATTTTGTATATTGTTAAAACTGTAACTTTAATTGTAAAAAAAAAATAAAAAATAATAATAAATAAAATATTACAAAAAGATAAAAAAATATTTGGAATTCCAAGAACAATTGTTTGTAGAGTGTCTGAAAGGACTTTTAAAGATGCTACTTTCTGATGATCAACTTTCAAACATTTAGGGGCTGTTCTTTCTTTATTTTTTAATGGTGCATTGATACAAGATCTCTCTGTAGCCCCAACTGACCTGGAACTCGCTATGTACACCAGGCTGGCCTCAATCTCACAAAGATCTGCCTGCCTCTGCATCTATCTTACACTACACTACACACACACACACACACACACACACACACAGTTTCTATAAAGTCTCCTTCATATACTTTATATACTTGAGCCATTTCTGTTTATTTTAAAAGAAACTATCTTGAACAATAGTATCAAGCATAATTAGACATAGATGTATAATCAGATGTAGATGTATAATGGTGCTGTGTACCTTATTAAGCCAATATGTATGCATTTCTAAAATTATGAGCAGCAAGGAAAAAGCTATCACATTTGGAAAGAATGTATATGAAAGAAGGACTCTAAAGTTTCCAGAGGGCCAGGTGTGCTGGTGCACCCCTTTAATCATAATCTCTGAAAGAGATTCTCCAGCTTTCTAGAAGGGGTGATAGCTTGATATTATTATTACTATTATTAAATTTATTCATCTTTATAAAAACCGAAGTGCAAGATCTCTTGAACAATCTCAAAAATGAAGTATTGAGAAACTTTGCTGATAGTCAATATTTGATGTTCTATTTCATTTTATATTTAATTTAAAAAATTTGGCTCAGTAGTTAAGAGCACTGGCTGTTCTTGCACAGGACCCAGGTTAGGTTCCCAGCACCCATGTGGCAGTTAACAACTGTCCCTAACTATAGTTCTAGAGGATCCAATGCCCTCTTCTCACCTCAGCAGGCATTGCATGCAGACGGTAGACTTAGGTTCATGCAGGCAAAACACTCATAAAATAAAAGTAAATTTTAGCCAGGCATGGTGGCACACACATTTAATCCCAGCCCTTAGGAGGCAGAGACAGGCAGATCTCTGTGAGTTCAAGGCCAGTCTGGTCTCCATAAAAAATACAGGCCAGCTGTGCCTACAGAGAGACCTTGTCTCAAAAAGACCAAAA